CAACGATTTAGTTCTTGAATTTTATTTACAATTAAAAACACTATAATTCACCGTGATCCATTAGATAAAATACACACACTAACGTAACTATATAAGCATTTAAGCGTTGAGTTTCTTAATCAATGATATAAAGATTAATCAATCGAAATCGAGTACTAAACCAGTTTTTTAATTTTTTCCTTGCAACGTAAAACACAAATAACGTGCGCGATTTAGCTGTGCAATTGAACAAAATTTCGAGTAAGACTTCTTTTGTGAAAAAACTACCTATTTATTTAAAAATGATGTACAATTCGTATGCTTTAAATGTATTGTTGACAATTCTGCTTTTGTCTACCAGATGGCGCGCGCGTTGCGAAAACCCGATATTTCTTTGACTTATATATTTTACTTATTTTGTTTTCCACCGATCAACTATTAAAGGACCTTCGGTCATCTATGGGTACACCCAACAGAGGAAAAAAGGCTTCCTTATGGCCTATTAAAAGGCAATAAAACTGCTCCACGATATTTACATATAGCACATGTTTATTACGCTAGAGAATATTAAGTTATGAAGATATTAAATAAATTATGATATCGTTTTTGCTTCTAAAAGTCTCCCGTGACATTTATACGGATCATTAAAGAATTTGTAACCAGTAAAACTGACTTCATGGTCATAACAGGATATCCTTTATGACTTTTTATCTTAATTTTCCTACCTGACCGCCGCTAATAGCCTAATTGGTTGGTTTTCAATTGATTTTGTGTATTTCTTTCATTTCTTTTGATGTGTAGGTTTGAGTTATTCACGGGCTAAAGTTAACTTTAAGTTGAAATTGGGAAAAAGTGAGGTTAAACCGTTTGACAGATGACAGATTGGAAAAAAGTGAGGTTAAAACAGCTTGACAGCTGTCAAATGTCGATTAAAATGTCAAAATAAAACGCAAGTAAAAATCATAAAACAATTGTTTAAATAAGTCGTCTAAATTCAAATGTTTGGTTTTAAGGTTATGTTTGTTATTATTTTTTGTTTTTTCGAATTAATCCGGGATTAAAATCATATACTAATTGTTTAAAAAATGCGAATAAAAATATAATTAAAAAACATTATTCAAAATTTAAGACAATAATTTCCGTAGATGCAATGATAAATTTTATCTGACACTTAATACGTGAAACGTGATACGGAATCTTAAAGTTGATGACGTGCATGTTAAATATAAATCAGTAGCAATAAATAGTAATAATAATAATATTAAATCTTACTCTGTATGATACCAAAAACCTTTTCAGTAAAAGTAATTGCGTTTCTCTTGCGGAGTACCGCAAGGAACCAACCTTTAACCAGTGTGAAATTGTTTATTTTTAAAATGTACAATAACGTTTTCGAAATTAATAGCTCAAGTGGAATAAATAATGTATCTAATAATGTATGGTGCCAAATAAGTAATATTTTTGTGCATTTGGTCCAAATATCTGGTTTTCTCCATACAATAATTTGAACTAAACAGCATTTATTAAAAAAAATCTAGCTTCTCTATTATGGAATAAGAATATCTGTTTTAAAGGTAGGTTAATATATTATAACAAAAATATCATCTAATTTTGTAATTTTAAGGTTAGAAAAATTTATTTTGACCATAATAAATAAGTATTTTGGATTATTTAAAAGACTGTATAATATGGTATTTAAAAATGTGGTAGTTTTTCTTATCCAGCTTAAAGTGTAACTACATAAAGTTTTGTCAATACAAATAGTTAAAAAGCTTCGACTGAACTTGATCTACATCGAAAAATCATTATAACTTTAAAAATTTTAATAAATCACATGTCATGGGAGTATTAAATATTTTCACATTGCAAGTTTCTCTAAAAATTGTTTGTTTTCTTATAATCTAACTTAAAGTAAGTATGCCGAGAGGTATGCACAAGTTTTGTCATTAGAAGTATGAAAGCTTCAATTTAATTTGAACCATATTCAACAATTATTTAGTATACCTATATTTATTTATGACCATATTAACACACTCTTCCAAATAATCCACTTATTTATTTTGGTCAAAATAGATTTTTCTAACCTTAAAATACAAAATTAGATGATATTTTTTGTTCTAATACATTAACCTACCTTTGATACAGATATTCTTATTTCAAAATAAAGAAGTTAGATTTTTTTTAATAAATGTTTAGTAAAAACTATTTTATGGATAAATGAAGACCCAATGCACAAAAATATCACTTATATTGCACCTTACACTTTGGAATTTCATTAAATGCAATATTTATATTCCTAAATTCTTAAACCAACCATTGTTATTGTGATACTATAAAGATTTATTAACTTTTAACGCTTAAACATAAGCGGTAACACTATAAATATTATTTCTTTCATTGACTATACTTTGACAGATACATAACCTGAAAAGCCTTAAATGCCAAATTTTCAAAAGACTGCGTTCCGTACGTGGTCACGTGGTGGGACTTTGAGGTGTGGAGCATAGTACTCACAGAAGACAAGAAAACTTATAAATATTGAATTGTGAATTGAAGCATAAAATATCTGAAAATATTGACGGTTTTATATCATTAAACGTCGACCAATATCCGTTAGTTCGACTTCCTTAACAGATTGAAAACGTAACACAGTATAATGGATGGTAATTTCCCAACGGGGAAAAATCTCGCGGTGCAAAATCTGCGCTGGCTGCTGGAGCCTGGAGTCCTAAACGGCTTCAGAAGGTATCATTACGGTGCATTTGAAAGGGGAGTACCACAACTTATAAGCGTACGTGTCTATGATTACGCCTTACGTAATTAGAGTTTGACTCATATGTATCGCTTACGTCAATAATTACCCATATCCTGTCCAGTGATTGGAAAGAAAAAAGTTACAAAAATGGTATCAATGTTGATTTTAACTAAATCGAGAGGATTTTTAAGCAGTTTAGAAATTTTTATTATTTATTAATCTTTTGTTATTTCTATTATAATGTAAAAAAATAATATGCAAATAAATCTATCAGTAAAATTCCTTTAAAAAGGCACTAAAACGATCAAAGACATATTTGACCACACCAAAACAACATTGTTTAACTTTGTTTATGAATTTATTCATTTACATACATGTGTATTTGTAATAAGATACATTTTTAAAAGACATGGTTTTATACATATGTATGTTATAACATTCAAATAAGAAAAAGTGTCTTAATGGTAGGCCGTTTGTTATGGCCTACGAAGGTTGGGTACCATTTGTACAATAGAATTTAAAAATTAGTATATCGGTTGAAAGACCGACTTGTATGCAGTCAATATTTTAATTTTACGAAAAAAAAATGAAAATGTTTTTATGTTACTATTCCCTATATGTCCTGACCATTGTTCATTTATTTGAAATTCAGCGAATTTTCTTTGGAAAATATTACAGGCCTCCAAAAGTGTAATATTTACGTAACTGTCAAAAATAACGTTTTACTATTTTTTTTCGGTGTTACCATGGTTCGGTTTCGGGTGTTACAAGTACAAAAAAACACCTTATAAGGACAAAATCGGTATTTTATTAGTCTTTCGTTCTTTACAGTTTTTAATCAAGAAAAACACATATCAAATTAGTCTCATGCTCAGATATTAGTTGGTATTTTAAATCATTACCACCATAACCTTACTTTTACTAAATATTATTACACTAATCAATATGTAAGGTATAATAATAAAACAATTACATGATTTTTCGTTTCGGGTGTTACAGTGGCAAAGTAAGAAGAAAACACACTTAAAACGTGATAATTATCAATTTTTTCGGGACTGTGACGCAATCCACCAATACTACGATAAATAATCTCAAATCACAACGAGGCAAAACGTTTGACAGATTGGCAGTTTTTTTTGTATTTCCAATAGTTAGAGGCACAATGGTCATTCAGCCAGTTCACTTGAGTACAGAATTGACAAGTAATCTTTTAAACAATATTTTAAGATTCCAAAAATTTCACCCCCATATTCGCACCCCTAATAACAAAAATGTTATAGGCTATTTTTGATTGAAGCACATTTTTTAAATTTTAACGAAAAACATTTATATTCAGTTTAGGTAGAATTTGTTTTGCCTTCTTATCCGGTCTCTTGACATGAAGCAATGCTACCGACTCCAATCACCATTTATCACATATTCCACAGGTGTCCTTTGTTTCCGTCTAATACGTCATCACCTCTGTTAGTATTAAATTGGAATTTAATATTTCTTTAAATGGTACCCACACCACAGACAAACTTAAAAACAAGTGTTGAAAATGAATGAAAGAGACTACTAACTAAACTAGTAAATGTTTTTACATATTTTGACTTCACCAGTCCGTAGCATGCAGTGTTTAGGTAATTACATAATTTTGCAAATAAAAACCCCATAGGCATTGTTATTTGTGGGTGTGGTATGACCCCTATTATAATAACTAATAAATAAATATTGATTTGTCGTTTCATGTAATTAATAAATAAATAGGCTGAGTACTATAGTACTGTTACCCCGACCTTGAGGCTACTGTTTACACAACAATTTTAAACTTTTTAATAGTGTGACCTGCTGTCGCCTTTGAAAGGTGATTTATAACAGTTTCAAAGGTTTTATTGAACACTCGCAATATTTTCTGCACAGTAAATTTACGAGCAAATCCAATCGACGTAAGGTTTTACCGATATAAATACAATGCCACCTGTAGGTCGTAAATTTTTACTCGATTTATTATGTACCACTATTATTATAATATATTTAATAATCGTAATTTACCCATGCTGTAATTTATAAATTACAAGATTATTTATTTAATTATAATATTATGTTTACATTAAAGTAAAATTTATCAAACGATTAAGTAAAAAAAAAAATATTTTGCGTCAGGAGATTTATGGACGGCTCCATAAGTAAATAGTGATTATTGTTATACTAATGTTAACAAATCTGTAACCTACAACAGTGTACAGAGGTCAGTATTAAACATAAAAATTGCTTTATTTTCCAGGAGAAACTACAAACGAACCTCACGAGCCTCCTCATCCCTCCAACAACAGCAAACCGGTTCGCAGGAGGCGGGTGGACCGCGTCCACAACAACAACGGTCTCATAGCAACGCCAATAACAAATGATTATCCTCCACACAACAACAACAATAATCATGTGAAAAACGAGAGGTTGAGTCCGGGAACGCCCGATACGTCAAGTAGGTCTAGGAGCGTTACTCCCAGTTCAGCCTCGCACCCAGACACGCCGCCTGCGATTGAGAATCCCCTGCTGGGAGGCAGGAATTACAGCGACTTCATGAGGAGTCTGGCCGCCAAGTATAACAACTCCAACCCAAACGAGTAAGTAAATTATTTGTTAACTTTAACCGAATACAGCCCGTTCAGAGTAAAACCGAATATAGGGAAACGTATCGGGCGTGGCCTTGAAAATTAAATGATAATAATGCAAAAAATCTCATTAACATTCGCTTGGCTAGGTGTCGGGGAGGCGAGGCAAAAATAATACAGAAATTTAAAATAAAATTAATTAGAACATGGTACCTACCTACTTAATATTTTTATTTAAAAATACATTTTAATAACGATAAATAAATAATTCATGTAAATCAACAATAGTTAATTATTCTATAAGTAAAGAAAAGTGATAGATTTCTATTTAAATTGAAATATCACTATAGAAAAATTTGAGTGCACCCATTAACCACGCTGTTTTGTCATATTCTTAATGAGATAGTGCACTGCATATGGGAAAAGACGGCGATTTCTGAAGAGTGTGAGGTAACAGTGTAACATCTCCTTTCAGTTACTTCAGCGCGGCCCGTAACGGCTTCCCCCCGCCCCTGGACCCGCGCTTCAAGCCCGCGGGATTCCCCGGCCTCCTCCCGCCCCTCAGCCAGCCGACGGCAAACAAAGACTCCAGCAGCGACCCCCCCAAGAAACCCGATCTCTCCGCCCTGCACCCCTTCATGGGGGCCTCGATGTTCCCCCCTATAATCGACATGTCCACCACTCAGACCCTCATCGCCATGGTGCGGACCGCGAAGGAAGCGGAGCTGCAGTCGCTGCTGAAAAACGTCAAGAGGCACGACACGTCGTCGCCTCTAGATCTGTCCGCGGCGGCGCCGCCTGCCAAGAGGGCCAGGATCAAGACGCCTTCGGTGGGAAGCCCGAACGCCAGCGTCGGCGCGCCGAAGAGGGCCGAATCGGAGAGCCCGAAGCTGCACGAGGACATCTCCAGCTGGACTGTCGATGACGTTTGCAATTTCATCGGTGGGATCGATATATGCGCCGAATATACGCAGGTAAGTCGTTTTTAACTGCTACTTAACTATTTTGCTTGATCTAAGCAAGGCTTTTGATCTAGTAAATCATTGGATGGAATCATACCTTTCTGGTAGATCACAAATTGTTGATATGGGTGGAAATATATCTGAAAATTGAATGTGGAATGCGGAGTTCCACAAGGATCTGTGTTAGGTCTTCTTTTATTCATAATTTTTATTAACTGCTTATCTTTTATTGTAAATGAAGAAAATTCAGTTCTAAGTGCCCAAAATATACTAAATTTCAATTTAAACAGGTTAGTCGTTTTTAACTACAAAAATAATTTTTACGTAATCGGCCTTTCAAGTATTCTGCTTGATCTAAGCAAGGCTTTTGATCTAGTAAATCATTGCATACTCTTAAAAAAGCTTAAAATGTATGATTGGATGGAATCCTACCTTTCTGGTAGATCACAAATTGTTGATATGGGTGGAAATATATCTGAAAATTGAATGTGGAATGCGGAGTTCCACAAGGATCTGTGTTAGGTCCTCTTTTATTCATAATTTTTATTAACTGCTTATATTTTATTGTAAATGAAGAAAATTCAGTTTCAAGTACCCAAAATATACTAAATTTCAATTTAAACAGGTTAGTCGTTTTTAACTACAAAAATAATTTTTACGTAATTGGCCTTTCAAGTATTCTGCTTGATCTAAGCAAGGCTTTTGATCTAGTAAATCATTGCATACTCTTAAAAAAGCTTAAAATGTATGATTGGATGGAATCCTACCCTTCTTGTAGATCACAAATTGTTGATATGGGTGGAAATATATCTGAAAATTGAATGTGGAATGCGGAGTTCCACAAGGATCTGTGTTAGGTCCTCTTTTATTCATAATTTTTATTAACTGCTTATCTTTTATTGTAAATGAAGAAAATTCAGTTTCAAGTACCCACAATATACTAAATTTCAATTTAAACAGGTTAGTCGTTTTTAACTACAAAAATAATTTTTACGTAATCGGCCTTTCAAGTATTCTGCTTGATCTAAGCAAGGCTTTTGATCTAGTAAATCATTGCATACTCTTAAAAAAGCTTAAAATGTATGATTGGATGGAATCCTACCCTTCTGGTAGATCACAAATTGTTGATATGGGTGGAAATATATCTGAAAATTGAATGTGGAATGCGGAGTTCCACAAGGATCTGTGTTAGGTCCTCTTTTATTCATAATTTTTATTAACTGCTTATCTTTTATTGTAAATGAAGAAAATTCAGTTCTAACCCTGATAGCAAAATTTGATTCTAAGAATCTTCTAAGAAGATATGACCCGGAATAATAGAATATTCTTAGAACCTGCCCTTATTGCTAAGAATGTTCTTAGGGACTTTTAAAACATTCAATAGATACCCTTTTAATGATGCAATTAGATTCTTACAAGCTTCTTAAAACCTTCCTAAAAAGCATTCTAAGAACATTTTAAGAATTCGTTTTTGGAATGTTCTTAGAAGGTTTCTTATGGAGCTTCTAGGAAGCTTTTGAGAATATTTCCAAATATGTCAGATACCCACGTTCTAATATGTTGGATTCTACATTCGTAAAATTCTTCAGGAGACGACAAATACGCCTCACTGTCATAATATGACAGTGAAATGTATTTGTCGCCCCCTTAAAAAATTTTGCGATATATATTTTTTTTTAAATATTAAATAAACAATTTGACCTCTAAACCATAAGTTGTATGACATTATTTCATAAAAAGTAAAATTGGAAAATTTTGTAGGATAAGTCAGATTAGATTGAAGTTAAAGATAGTTAGATTATTATACATAAAAATGTTAATTCAGAAATAAAAAATCGGTATACAAATTAATAAATATTTATTTTTAACATAAAATAAAATATAAAAAAATAAAATATTCCCTTATAAAATAATTCTTCATAAAAGAAAAAACCAAATAGTTCTTCATAAAAAAACATTTTTCATTCTATTTAAGTTGTGATAGAAGATTTTATGTAAAAGCCGGATAATAATAATAATAATAATAATAATAATAATAATAATAATAATAATAATAATAATAATAATAATATTAATAATAATAATAATAATGTTTATTGGTACTAATACATTAAAAATGTTTGTACAAGTCAGGATAATTTAGATACCTATAGTAAAAGTATTTTTGTTATCAAATATTGTTTTAATTTGACAAATAACTATAAAAAAATATTTTGGGTTGTGTTTTTTACTTAGTATTTAATACTAAGTATAGGTACCTTTATACGTAGATTATGGTATATTTTATTATTATATAGCCCAAGTAACATTTTTAGTTTTATTATGGTTTTCAAGAACGCTTTAAAACAAAATTTTGTTTTAAAGTGTTCTTGAAGACCATAATAAAACTAAAAATGTTACTTGGGAGGTACCTAGCTGAACTGAATATGCTTAACAGAATGTTCCAGGAATATTCGTAAATGAACTTTCTATAGCAATTACTTTCTCAACATTCTAAGCATATGTTTAGAGTGGATTAATTTTTACCACTAAACTTTGCACCTTCTAAGAACCTGCCTATAGGCCAGTGAGAATATTCTTAGGATTATGCTATATTTCTTTTAAGCATGTTCTTTAGAAGAAATATAGCATGATCCTAAGAATATTCCCACTGGAAGGTTTAAAAAACATTCTTAGAATAAACTGTGCTATCAGGGAAGTGCCCAAAATATACTAAATTTAAAATATCAACTGTTAAAAATCAATAACAAATCTATACAGCAAGTTGAAAATACTAAATTTTTGGAAATTTATCTCATTAAATACTTAAGTTGGTATAACTGAATTATGTAAACAATTATCTAGCTTATCTTATGTTTGTTATATGCTCAATAGCATAGTTAATACTATAACTTACACGTGAGTAAAAATGTGCATAATAATATGAAATAATAACGCTTCTATTAACTTAATAGAAGCGTTATTATTTCATATTATTATGCACATTTTTACTCACGTGTAAGTTATAGTGTATACTATGTTGGTGATCATCTACAAATGCTTTGGAAGTATTTCAAATGCAAAAGAACTCTGTAGAAGCATTATTAAGGAACTACATTTGTTAAAAGTATTTCATCCTTATTCATATGACTACAGGATTCCTAAACACAGTACTAGCACATATGAGCAAAGTATTAGTGAAGACACTAAAATTGATATTTTGTTACGTGTGGAAGAAGATCCTGCCGATTAAAAATAAAGCAACTAAAAATTAAAACGGCAATGGTTTTTCATATATGATACCTAAAAGATCATCCTCAAATTTTTTCATTAAAATAAAAAATCATGCAGCGCACTTTTAATTTCATTTTTGGTGTTTTCATTTGGATTGACTCTAAAGCAAGTTGAAAATACTAAATTTTTGGAAATTTATCTCATTAAATACTTAAGTTGGTATAACTGAATTATGTAAACAATTATCTAGCTTATTTTATGTTTGTTATATGCTCAATAGCATATTTCATATTATTATGCACATTTTTACTCACGTGTAAGTTATAGTGCATACTATTTTGGGGGTAATCTACAAATGCTTTGGAAGGATTTCAAATGCAAAAGAATACTGTAGAAGCATTTTTAAGGAACTACATTTTTGTAAAGTAATTCATCCTCATTCATAACCAACAACAGTTACTATGATCACACGTTCAACAATAGGTCCCGGAATGACTACAGGATTCCTAAACACAGTACTAGCACATACGAGCAAAATATTAGTGAAATACATTAAATCAAGGGTCCATCAATTTGGAAGACTTGAAAACATGTTTTTAACATTGGAGGTTTAAAATTCAAAATGCTATTAACTTTATTAATGACCTTCATTCAAAAATGGCTTGCAACATCTACACTATCATCACTTTTACCTAATGGATCGACCTGATTAACTAAAATTTGGAATGAATCGTGACCCGTCTTACATCGAAAGTGTCTTATCTTGAAAGGTGATGCTGAAATCTCTGTTAATCATATTAGAATGTAAAGTAAATATAAACCACATTAAACTTTTAATCTGCATTGATAAATATTGAAATCTCGACGAAGCATCTTACAAATGTAACATGGAGAAGAAACAACGGTGGCCGGCACTGCCATAGAAAGACCTTAGAAAGGAGAAGCAGAAGAAGAGCTGGTGCATCCCTTCGCAAAGTAGAAGAAGAAGACTAGCAACGGAACGATCTAGTTGGCGGCGCGATTTCAAAGGAGCCACGATCACGGCTGGAAGGTTTACGCGCCAACACATCTGTACCATTGTACCAGCGTGAAAGATACATACACAAGTGAGTTTTATTTCAATGAAGAGATCCCCTGAATTATTATTAGAACAAATGCGATGCGGAGCTGCGGTCGTGACGCCATTGTGTTTGATTTAGTTTGCTCTTTGAACTGGACTTTTATGATCCTTCTTGACAACCAGTCCTTTGGTTTACGGTCTTAGATTCAGCGCGAAATGGGGTAGTTAAATTTTTTCTGACCTATACTTTTTATGGTTTTATTCAAGGCGTTTTGTAATTTTAAACATTTCTGTAAAATCGGAATTGCAATGGAGTTTACCGTTTTCGAGATATTTACAAAAAAAATCTCCTAATTACGTCACTAGGCTATTGACAACGTTGCCAGCTTTTTCTATGGTTGCCAGTGTGTTTAGTTTAAGATTCTTAAGATAGATGGCGCCACGTTATAATATTTTAGTTTTAAAACCACTTGATCTATAATTTTAGTTGAGAAGAAGAAGAAGAATTGATTTTTTGACGTTTCTTTCTTTCGGGTTATTTAGCTTATTGAAAATCAATGTTATTGTTATGTTATTTGTAATTGATATTAGAAAAGTGATTTATTGATAACGGTCTCAAAAGCAGAGGAATCTTGTGGAATGGTTGGTTCCATTGAACATTGGAGCTTTTAAACAAATAACGTAAGTACCTATAATTATAATCATATTTTGTCGTAAATGCATTTCATTAGTATAATGC